CTACTACCACCTACTACCACCTACTACCACCTACTACCACCTACTACTACTACTACTGCTACCACTACTACTACCACTACCACTACCACTACTACTACTACTACTACTTCCACGACTTCTACTTCTATTTCTACTTCTACTACTACTACCACTACTGCTACTACTACTGCTGCTACATGTTCCTTGGACCTCCTACTCTGAGAAAGCCTTTCGCCGCTTGAAATGCTTCCGTGTTTAGTCATCAGGAGCTGTTCGAGCCAAAGAACTGCATGCGCTGGGTCCACCCATCGCTGCTTCAAGTTCTCAATCAATGGCAAAGTGGCAAAAAAACGGATGAAGAGCCAACATTCCAAAGTGGCTCGGCCAGAAGCAGGCTGAAGTGACCCTTGACTGTTGGAGTGGTTTTTTCCTGCACCTAAAGCTCTCCGAGACTGTTGACTAAGGTTTCAATGTGGCCATTGAGGGATTCAAAGTAGAGGCACCAGGAATTTTTAGTTTTCCTGCCCTCACCGACGAGTTCTGTGAACTTCTCCTGCAGGAGAGAAATGGGGAGGGAGGGAGGGAGGGAGGGAGAGAGAGGAAATGTAAGAGGCAGCGGCATAGGCATAGGCCATTGGACACAGTGGAACTGGAAGGAAGTACAGCACTATCGCAAGAGTGGACTTCCATCAAGAGCTCCGAACAGCATGAACAATTATGGTTTGGTGTTGAATGAGACGCATGCTTGCAAGAAGTGCCTTCATCATGGGCATCAAGTCGAACATGTTAGGACATGTTAGGACCTCAAAATGTGTCAGTAGCCTTGTCAATGTTTGTGTAATTATGTGTGTGCTCGGCAAAAAATGCCCACCTCCCGTGCACCGTCGTTGCAGTAAGGATAGGCATGCGGCCTGCCTTTTCTGCGATTCTGAAAGAAGTCCTGCTTCCCATTGGCGCAAGGTGGGTTGCAAAGGGACGACACAGGAAGACATGCCAGCCAGAGAGTACTGTTTGAACTGTTGGACGCGGAGGCTGTTCGGCAGCGACGAGGATCGCATCAAAGAAGTAAACGGTGTTGCGATTGAGTCCGAAGATTGGGGTGGTTCAACCTTGGACGACCATCATTCATTTATAGTACAGTACCGACCATCTGATGATAAGTAGCTTGGCAGAGGTAGCTGTTCATCTCGATTTGCTGTCGCTGCCAGCAAAACTGCATGTTCGTTGGGGTAGACGTAGTATGGTCTTCTTGTTACTACTAGTAAGGCACCTGTTTCTAATAGCTTCTTGTTACTACCAGTAAGGCACTTGTTACTACTAGCGATGCACTTGTTCCTACTAGCAAAGGAACCTTCTTTGACCCAAAGATACTGAAGCTAAGGCACCTGGATATGCACATCGATGAGTGCGATGCCAATGGCTTACTAACTTCCGATGATAAACTAATGGGATCGCAACGCTTGAACACTTGTGGTTCGGGGGCAGAGTGACTGGCCTGTCCTTGCACAATTTCAGGTAACCTTCAACTTTGGCATCACTTCGCATAACAACTTTGAAGGCAATGACCTCACCTTTTGTGGCATGTTTGACTCAGCAGATCATCGGAAGTACCATCACACGCAACTCGCACATAGAAGAGTGGCATTGAATGTGGCATGTTTCTTCGCTGTGTCATTGTTCTGTTGAACATGTGACTTGATCACACCTGCCACAGCGTTTGTCCATCAGGAAAGAGGAAACGTGTAGCATGGCTTCGGTGTTTATCGAGCAGTTCAAATCGTCACTGAAGGTACAAGCACGTGAAAGGACGTTGTGTTGTCCACTCCGGCAAGCGCCGGCACGGTGCGATGGACATTGAAAAGGCAACGGATAGGGGGAGTGTTGTCCCGTTCCAGTTGTTCCTCACGAGTCCTTTTTGTTTAATATCCATATAAATATATTGAAAACAGCTCTCTTTGTCTCTATCACTCTCTTTTCTTGTGTGACAATTTATAATGTAGCCGTTTTGCACCACGTTTTGCTCATCGTGTTGTTGACTGACCGAGTTTGACCAATATCACTGTAGCTTGGCATCAGTAATGTGAGATCTCCCAGCCAGTCCTGCATATTCCTGCCCGGCATGCCAACGTGCCAATGTACATTGCTGCATTGCTGCCATGACAACTAATTTTGCAGGGAGGCTTGTGCATGCAACTGCTTTCCTTTACGAATCGAACTGACCTTCCAGGGCGAGCGTGCCTCTCTCATAATGTGGACTAAAAGCAGAAGTTTCCGTCGAACAGAGGCCGTGGGGCGATTGGCTTTATATTGCAAACGTTTAGCTACAGGCTCACACATGCGGATGGACAACAACTCCATAAGGATCCATAAGGTGTTGTTCAAAGTTGTTCGCTGAACACTGGGGTGATTTTGTTGCAAGCTGGAGTTTAGGGTGGAAGTTCAGGTCAAGTGTGCAGCAATGCTTTGTCCACAGTGCAAAAGATGTTGTGAGTGAAAAAGTATTGTTGCACATTGTTGCTTCTCATGTCATTGCGATAAGTCGCGCAAAGAACCGGCAGTCCCAGTTTCCACACCATCCATTGTTGTCAAGCTCACTCAAAGTGGTCCAGCTGGGGAGAAAGCATGCTGCCAGCAGGCCTACCGAGAAAGAAATCGAAAGGGCCTTACATATGGAGATGCTGATCGAGTTTGCTTGAGCTACACCCACGACCCGGTTTCTTGGCTGAAGCCTGGTGTAGCTTTGAGGTAGGGTGCGTAACATTGAAACCGTGCAATCTTGGAAAGCTATTCTCAAACCACAGGACTACAAGAATCTGATGCCAAAGAAGCAGCAGTATCACATGAAGCCCAGGCGTTTCGCTCGTGATCGGTTCTTAGAAAGTTCTTACAAACTGATCTTGTATCACAGGGAAGAAGGCCAAGCCGGCAATGAAGTACCTCTTCAAACAGTCGCTGTGCTGCAATATATAAGCGACATCAGAAACTGCCATCTCTTAGAATTCAATGTGTTGAAATGTCCCAAAGGAGAAGAAGTGGATCACAGTTTGTCCGGCTGCTGATCTCTCAGAGGGCCAGTCCAAGTTGCTCAACTTGAAAGAAGAGTTCCTTGGCAAATGATGGCACCTCCAAGATGATTGTGAAGCTGACACAGAAAAAGGGGGTCGATGGTCCAGGAATGAGCAAATCGCTGTCTTCAAGCACCGAGAAGAGCTGTTTGCACTGGCAACTTGGAATTTGATGGGAATTCGGATTTCGACAGTAATCGTGCTGGATCAGTGGCCTGCTGTATTTTACTTGTCTAGTTTAGTTCATAGTGCAGTTGCTGCTTGCCTGAAAAACTGTGCTCCTTACTAAAGGACTTGACTTGACAAGCTTTGGGAAGCGTAGGGATTTGGCATTTCCACAATAGAGTTTGCGCAAAAAGATTTTGGGGCTTCGGGCTGAGCTGCGAGACTTCACAGATGCATTCATAATATGTTCTAATCACAGAATCACCACAAATCCGAAGTCTTTTGTGCAACAGCAGGACTGAAGGCTTCGGCAGAGGTGGCTTGTGTTGGCTGCACTTGGCACTTAGGACAATCGATGTGCACATATGGGTGGCTCTTTGTGTGAGGGTGAGATTGAGGATGTTGGCAAGGAAAACCTTGGTTCCATCCTCAGATACTTGGCTCGCTTGAGCCCGTGCACGACCTCCACTTCAATGGAGCCTTTCTTCTTCCATACATATCTACCACTTGGACCCGCAACTGTGCAGATAACTGCTTAGATGACCTTTGTCCTTGCTCTTTACATTTGGAATGCCTCGCCACTTCTGTGGGCCACGTGATGTACAAGTTGTGACGTCCAATGGTATGCTTCCCGAGCATGTCGGAGCAACATTTCTGATGCCTTAGGCAAAATTTCTGATCTCAAAGAGTTCAATTACTTCAAATACCGAGGTTGCAGTGATTCCAAAGCGACTGATGGTATGGTCATTTGCCCGCGGCACTACATGTGCCTCAATCTTTGTGGACTTAGTCACTTAGTCACTTTCAGTGGGTTTGCAGCTGTGGTGCCTAGGTGCTTCAATTTGAAGACCGGGGAGAATGTTGAAGGAGATTTCACAATGAAACAGAAGGCTAGCAGGGTTACGAAGCAAGGTGTTCACAATCCCTTGGATCCCTTTGGCAGGTATATCCAGTTCGCTTGTCTTCTGATGGCCAGCACATAGAGGCAGGTTTCGTATGATCGAAGTAAAATGCAAGACAAGGCATTCATTCATGAAATGATATGAGTCGAATAGCATTCTTGGACCGCTACTACAACACGTTTGTGCATTCAAAGGCTGGTTGATAATACAGGTCGAAGTCGAGCTTGAAGTGTTGCAACCCTTGGTCCCGACCACACCTGATTCTCAGCTGATTTTGTATTCAGAAGGCTTCATTAGCATGGTATAAAGCTGAGGAGAATCCAGGTGTTCTTCATGCAGAGAGGCCCTTTTCCTGGCTCTGTGGCATTCCCAACAAGGACTCGCTCGCGAAAAATTGATTCTGATTAGATTAACATAAATCAACAAATTCAAATTCAAACATGACATATTTCTTGACCAGGTTTTCGCCACTGTGCCCTTTGCATTGGGAAACTCGGACGCAATTGCAATTGCTTCCTTTTATAGACAAATTATCCAGAATGTAAATGTGTTTTTTAACATTATGTCATGGATATATATATATATATTCCGGAATATATATATATATATCATATCCATTCAATCCATTGAGGCATATGTTCCTTTGCAATTGCATTTAATATCATATTCAACCACAGACACACCAGATTCTGAAAACAATAATATAAGCTTAAAATATTTTAATTTAGAGATATGGTGTGTATTTGTTGCATATTTGGTTATTATTTGTTAATGTTGAATAATATATATTTACAGTATATATAAACGATATGATTTATTTGCGAAAAAATCCCTAATGACGGATTTAATATTGGATTTATATAATTTATATCAATTTATATTAATGTTGGATCTTGATTAGTAAAGGGGGGTCTTCTCCCTTCCCTCAAATAATGGGAGACCCTTTATAATAAACTACTACAAAAATAAATCTGGGTTTTTATAGGAACAGACTCAATGAACTTCAAATTCGTTTGTCTCGGCCGCCGGGTATCGCACAAGATGAGAATATTACCCGTTAGACTGCTTGCAAAACGTGGAGATCGTTAGGCATTGTTAATGCCCCAATCGGTTGGGAGACACCATCCTCACCATCGCTTATTGAGGTTTTGCTCATGATTCGGAAATTCGGCTGCAGCGTATCAAACGTTGGAAGAACAGAATCCAACACTCTACCAAAGGTAATTGTGCATATATTTTTAAGCACCTACGTAATAAGCAATAAAGTGAGCCCACCAACCTAGTTCTTGACAAGGACCACAACATCATTGTTGCCCCTCAACAAGCCATTGTTTCCTTAAACGAGACATGGGACGAAGTGTACTCTATTAATGTGCTACGTGACCACCCACTGCAGATGCTCCAAACTGTGTGGCCATACATCCAGCACACACAAGTTGCTGTGCAATTGCCACCCATAGATGGTGCCGCCCTGTTTCGAACCATTCAAAAACGACCCGTTGCGGCAGCTCCTGGCCTGGACGGGTGGAGAACGGCAGAACTCCAAAAATTTTTACCAGCAGAACTGGAACCGGTGGCACAATTCTTTGCAGAAATTGAAGACAATGATCAGCCACTGCCACTGGTTTGCGCGAAGCAGGTTATTCTTAACAAACCTGGTCCGGCCACCCCCCTTAACAAACGCCTCATCACCATTTTACCAGCTCTGTTACTGGCGTACACTGGGAGCCGTTTCGCCCAGCTACAGGAATGGCAAAATCAGGTAATGCCACAAGGGGTGTTGGGTGGTATTCGCAATCGCCATATGTCAACCCTCTATAACGAGATGCGGATTGATCTTGACGGTGCAGTCATTGATAAGACACCACTAATCGGGTTAAAATTGGACAAAGCTAAGGCCTTCGACCGCATGGTGCCTGAATTTGCCGCAGCACTCTTTCTTGCCTTTGGCCTACCCAAAAGTTTGGTGAATTTCTTTTTGAAGATTTATAGAGGCCTCCATCGCCATTTGTCATATCGCAACTGGTGCTCCCCGCACGCAACCACCCCTGCGAATGGAGTTGCGCAGGGATGCTCGCTTTCGCTGCTTGCGATGAATGTATACAATAAAATATGGTTTCATCTTCTCGAGCATTTACCAAACATAACGGCCAGGGCCTTTATCGATGACGCTTACTTGTGGTGCCATCTTAGCAACATTTCGACCATGAAAACGGCCATCGAGCTCACCCAACTGTGGGACAAACTCGTTGGACAAAAACTCAACACAGGGAAATCATCCATGTGGGGATCCACGGTGGAAGCCCGGAAGGCCATCAAACAAGCCTTTCCTGAATTCCCGGTCTTTCTCGAGATTGTTGTTTTGGGCACTCGCATGTATTGCTCCGAACGTGATTGCTTTGGCTTCTGTTCGAAGACGGCTCAAAGGAATCTTGACTGACATCGACAACATTGCTGCCCTCCCAATCACGCAGAAGACACGTATCCACCTCATCGGTGCGAAAGTGATTCCACAGCTTTCTTTCGGTGCTGATTCCCAAAAAGGACATCCAAAACATCCAGAACACGATTGCCAGGGCACTGTGGGTCAACCGGCCAAAATGGCGATCCAAGTCGCTGCTCCAGGCTGTCCTTTCCAAACCGCATCGAACTGACCCTGTGTTTGCGAATGCATATAATACCTTTTTTGAGCTTGTGAGAATGTGTCACACTGCCCCTTGATTGATCCCGAGATTAGTTCGCACTCTTAAGCACGAGGTAAGGGCGAAGCACTCACTGGCCAATAACCTGTTGTATGCAGCTCAAACACTTGGCCTTGAATTGGATGACAACTTGTGTATCTCGTTTGAAGCAAACCTTTGAGCTTGCAAAAAGTTCATCCAAAAGATGTCCGCAAAGCCTTACAGCAAATCACTAGGCAAGCTTGTTATTCAGCGACTCCTGCCAACGCCAGGAAAGACTTCTTCAAACCTAAGGGTGTTTTCGATGTTTCCCAATCCTTACGATTCTTGCGTAATCGTTCCACAGAGGGACATCTTGCCACTCTTGATGCCTCTCGTTTCGAATCTGTCTCGGTCGGATGCGTTTTGACCAATGACAGGCTTGCAAGCACGGGGTGGGTTGAGAGTTCCGATTGCCGTTTCTGCCATGTATCCAAGGAATCGCTTCCTAACCTTCTCCAATGCGACAAACTGCATGAGCAGATTGGACGGCCAATCCCACATGAGTTCGGTCCGAACTTTCTTACAATGGGGCATGTCCACCACCCACTGTTTGTTGCCCGGAGACGTCTTCTTCATTTGACTGCCAATGAGTTGGAGGTCTCCCCTCAATTTTGTGATGGGGAGCCGCGCAGATTGTGGTCGGATGGCTCAGTTGTTCATGCGGATCGTTTCTGGTTGGCAACTGCGACATATGCGATTGTTGATTCAAATGGGCAGCTTGTGAAGAAAGGGCAAGTCAACCATTGGAATTTGGCAGCATACAGTGCCGAACTATGGGCCGTCATTGTAGCCTGTACAGATGCCACTCGACCAATACAGCTGTTTTCTGAATGTCTCGCGGTAGTTGAGCAAGCTTCCACAGTTTTTGCAGGTGGACCCATTCATGCAGGTTGGGCTTGCAAGGAGTGGTGGACCTTTTTGCACCGACTGGTTGAATTGCGGAGGCAGGTTTGCGAGATTCCTTTTAGCGTCAAGTGGATCCCTGCACACTGTTTTGATGATCTACCAGAATACATGATCACTGACAGCTTGGCTTTTTCAGCAAATACAACGCGTGAACACATTTTGAACAATCGTGCTGCTGATCGGTTTGCCAAAAGTTTGGCACATAAGCTCGCACCAGTTCATCCTGACATGCAGCGATGTGCTGACAAAGCCATTGAACAGCATCACTCATGGTTGGTCGCTTTGCATACATTGTTGCCAACGTCCGATCCAGCCAAGGCTGCTGACACTCAGGCACCTTCCAGTTCTCAGGAGATCACAATTGATCAATGCAGAAACCGCTTTCCGGCATGGCGTTGGAATTTGCCCAAACGCCACTTTCCATGGCGGGCAAAGATTCCCAATAAACTTGCACAGCCCTTGCGATGCAGCTACACAGCGGTTGATTGGCGAACATTGTGTAGTTGATTGGCGAACATTGTGTACATTTTTGCGCAACCTGCCGTGGATGGTTGATTCGGAACAAAGTTTTTCCTTCACTGAGCTGGCTGTTGTCTTTCATTATGAAGGATATAGACTGGAGGGCGACAACACAACCCGGACCTTTTTTGATGTTTACAAATGCGTTCGAGAAGGCTTGATGTACATGAACAAGATGCCAGAGTGCGACAGTTTCCCTGGGAATTTTGACACCGCTTTCCCGCGCTCCTGCGGGCGAGTCATGCCACAGGGTTGCATTCGCGGTGCGATTCCCTTTTTTCACCGACGATGCTCGTTTACTTGTCGCTCGCCTTTTTGCGGCTGGAGCGGGCAGGACAATTGATTCCTGGCGAATCCCGCTTGCTGACTTTTGAGCTCCTCGTTTGCACGTTTGTAGTTGTCTCTATCAGTGGTAGAGCACCACGCTCTGCTCATGTTTCACATGAGACGTCCGAGCGCGAGAGGTAGTAATTGATTGTAGTATTCATTCTATTTTTTCTCTTTGTAGTAGTAGTAGTAGTAGTAGTAGTAGTTGTTGTTGTTGTTGTAGGAGTAGGAGTAGTAGGAATAGTAGCTATTAGTAATAGTAGTAGTTGTCGTTGTAGTAATAGTAGTAGTAGTAGTAGTAATAATAATCGTGGTAATAATAGTAATTGTATTAATAGTAACAGTAGTTGTAGTAGTTGTTGTTTTGGGTGTGGTGTCTAGTGGTGTTTTTCCCCAAATGCGTAGCGAAGGGTTCTCGTTTATCGCGAAAGCTAGCGAAGCTAGCTGGCGTTACTCTTGCGATAGCAAGGTTTCTTTCGACCGGGTGCAAATCCTAACCC